AATCAGGCTTAGGGTCAGCAGGACAACATACATCCACTCGAAGATCAGATCAGAAGTAAATTCACAGTATGTATTTTTTGTATAAAAAATGTTGGCATGTAGAAAAGTGTAATTTATATATGCTCTGATCAATTTTGTATCGTTTTGGATTTAATTATGTAAAACATAAATTTTTTTTATGTTAATGAAAGTTTAAATTTTCTATAGTTTTTATAAATGTGCATGTTTTAAATAGTTAATGTGACACCTCAGATTTGTATCCGGGTCGGGTACGGGTTGGGGGTGTTACAACTTTTGGCTCCAATGTGGAAGACAAAAGATGACATTTGGTGGCATTAACAAATGAAGGATAAAAATATCTTGGATTTGGCCAAAATATGTGTGGTTGATGAGTATTTTATTGTGACAAGGGATCAGTTGTAGCAACAAGTACATTATTATGCTCTAATAAATCAATGAAGGGTGTTGATGCATCAGGTAGATCATCAAGTTGTTTTGGTATGTTAGGCAAGGGTGTTGGCACTATAACTAATTCATCATTTTTTTCATGACATATCAATCAATAGAGTTGTAGGAAAGGATACTGAGATAGCAGTGAATAATGTCGAAGAAGAATATTGTGGAACAATGATTATATTCTGTGTAACAAACGGAAAAATGTGAGGAACCAATCGAACGTGATAAGCGATATGAATTTTGTTGTTATCTAGATCCAAGCATTTATAAGCAGACTATGTTATAGAGTATTCAAGAAAACATATTCAATGGATGGTGGTTCAAGTTTATGATTCATGTACGACCGTAGCCAGAGAAAGAATAAGTATTCAAATTGTTGATAAAGTAGGGAGTATGGAGGCATATTATCCAATATCGATTTTAACATCTAGTTGATGAGATAAACAGCCGCCTGAAAAGTATAAGGTCAATACTTTGTTAGAAGAGATACAAACTGAAGTGGAGAAAGACAAGTCTCCACTATGTGATGATATCTTTGTTCAGTAGTCTTGTTGTGTTCAAGAGTATGAGGCAGTGAAGTGAAGTGCCAAATACTTTCAAAATTCATAATGGGTAAGAGATTAAAAAACTCACCTCCATTATTAGAGAATATGATACAACAACATGCTTGAAAAAGTTTTCAATAAGCCTTTTAAACTGAGGAAAATTGCTACAACATCAAATTTCTTCTTCATCGGGTATAACCAATTATATTTGGTGAAATAGTCAACAAACACCACATAATATGAATATCCATTATTTAATATATATTTTGTGCTCCAAACATCAGAATAAAATAGTTCAATATAAAGAGAACTTGTCATAACATTTTGACCAAATGACAATTTATGACTTTTGCTAATAAGAAATGAAGATCAATGAAATTCTTTCAAGTTGACAGAGTAATGTATATTACATATACGTAATATAGTGGCTGAGACTTTATCGGACGGATGAACTAACTTGTGATGTAGTTGATGCACGGATAAACAACTGATTAAATTTATTCGAGGAAGAAAAGATTTTGGAGTATAGTAGGCACTACCAATTTTATTGATATGAAGAAGAGGAGTTATAAAGGGTTGATCCTTAACAAGAAATTGTGAGTCAAAGAATTCAATAGATACATTATTAGTCTAAATAATTAAGAAACCAACACTATTTTTGTATGTAACTAAGGAAAACATAATACATCTATGAGGAAAAGAGACTTAATAACAATGGGAACTATTCATCGATCAATGTGAGATATAGGTAGAGAATTACCATTACTCAATTGAATCGTATCAATACCATTATAAGCGAAAAGATCCTGAAGAATTTTAGTAGTCATGGTGGTATGATGTGAAACACCACTATCAAACGTTCAAGGAGCATGTTCAGATAATGAATGAGTAGCAGCAACGTTGACAACTGATGGGTTAAGCGTTGACTATTGATAAAAGTTATTATTAAATAATCGAACAAGCTTACGAAAATCCCAAATAATATGCCCTAGAAAATTATAGAACTTACACACAATATTTTTCCATTTGGAATGGCTTCCATTATTCCCTCGAGAGTGGTTGATCGAAAAACCATGAGTCTGATTACCTCGTTGTGCAGAAGTTATCATGACAAGAAGTGTGTCTTGCTTAGATTCTTAGAGAAGAGTTCATGGTCAATTAAGATCTCAAACAACTTAAGCATTATGGTCGGTGTGTTACACATATGAATAACAACAATTATTTAATGATATTCATCGCCTAATTAATTGAAAATAGAAATCAATATATCTATATTAGAAATAGGAAAGCTTGCCAAGGCAAAATCAGAGACAATATATAGTATGTATTTTTTATAGTCAGTGATAGAATGAAAACCACGCGGATTATGAGCTAGCTTGGATTTGAAAGCAAAAATACGACCAGGAGAAGCACAAACATAAATTTCAACTAAAGTATCCCACGCTATTTTAGCAGTGGTAATGGATTAAATGAGAGATTGAACTAGATCATCATAATTGCCAAGAAGAGCAAGATTTGATCCTAACGATACCATTGCAAATACTCAGGATTAGCAATTTTTGTTGCAGCATCGATAAACTAAGGTGGGGAAGACTGTGAACCATCAATATAACCGATGAGCTCAAAACCAATGAGAGTGGGCTCCATTTTTTGACGCCAAACGGAAAAGTTGGCATACGTAAGTTTGATTGAAAAATTGGTTGGTGTGTTGAGATGCACGAGATTGTTGGTGGTGGAAGATGGAACCATGAGAGGATATTTGATTTGAAGGAGAGCGTAAAAATGATCAGGTAGAGAAATTCTACTAGGCTCTAATTCTCATGTAAAGTATTTGTATAACTGATAATTTTAACATTTACAAGTGATGAGCATATATAAGATTACAAGAAAACCTATTTCTAAGGAAAGTCAAAGCTTTACACAATATAAGGTTTATACAAGGTAAAATTGTATTGATTGGATTAGATTGGATTAGATTGGATTAGATTGAATAAATCTATTCTTTATCTTTGATACATACCATGTGAATAATTAAGCACATATGAAAAATCACATCAATAACAAGCGTTGATAGTTTGTCAATTAACAGTTTTCATCTAAAAGGGGGTCATTATGACAAAAATGAAGCGTTGAGAATTAAAATACTAAAAAAAGAATAATGGTCCAAAGTGATTATTTCATTAAACGTTAAGTATAATTTTTGATATTATCATTTTTGAAGAAAAATATGAAGGCCTCGGAAACTATTAAACCAACAAGTTTTTTCTTCTAGATTATCTATTAAAGTTTTTATATTTTAAATTTAACATTTGATGACATTTTTAATATTTTTAATATTCTTTATTTATAAATTTATCTTCAATTCTCTCTATAAATACGAAATTACAGTTAAATATATTATACATCGAAAAAATTATCTCATTTATTCTCTTTTCGTTCTCGTTAATCCCTTCCTTAGAAAAAATATTTTTAATCGAGTTTTATTATCTTTATTTAAATATAAAAATTTAAAAATATTATGTTAATTTTAGGGAGGCCAATTTCACAATTACATTAATAAGATAAAAATTACTTTTAAGATAATAATTTTGTTACAATATAATAAATCACACTATTACTACTTTATTTCCTTTTAATTTTATTATTATTATCAATGTTGTTTAATAGTTTTAAGTGATTAGAATATGTGTTTTCTAATTTCTTTGTTATAATAATTTAGTATTAGTTTAATATAAAAATAGGTGTTCAAACTATGCGTCGGAAAACGTTTTAAAGCCTCAATAAAATTTTGTTAAAAATATGTTTCTAACATTTTCTCGTTATACTTTTAGGTGTCTGACTGTGAAAATTAATTGTTATCTGTCACATGTCGCCTTTAGATTTTTTTAAAACTTTTATTTTAAAAAAAACATAAATAAAATTATTACTTAAAAAAACTCAAATGTTTTAAAAATATCAAAATGATCGGTCGTCGGACTCCATTCTTGTCAAGGCCCTTGTCGTCACTCTTAAATCTGTCAGCGATAAAAAAAAAAAATTAGCCTCAAATTGTTGTAAATCACGAGCAAAATTGGAAACAATGTCGCACAAATCATCTCAAATCGTGCGCAAATCGATCGAAGATGGTGGTTGGGCTTCATTGGACTTTGGATTAAGGATGATCGGTTGTAGGTTTCATTGTCGATGGGTTGAGTTTGCTGGAATTTGGGTTATGGATTTGGGAGTATTTGGGGTGTTTTGTGAAATGAATGAAAATATAGAGACTTTTTTAAAAATAATATTAATTTTAGTTTTTTTTTTAAAAAAAATTCAAAAAAATATATAAGGTGAGACGTGTCATTTAACGGTAAAATTTAACGTCAGACACCTAAAAGTGTAACGAAGAAAATATTAAATACATATTTTTAACAAAAAAATTAAACACAAAAATATTTTTCGATACATAATTTAAAATTTTATTTTTATATTAAACCTTTAGTATTTTACCAACATACGTTTCTATTGGAAATTTCCATGCTTTCTAGAAAGGTTGAAAAATTATGCTAATAACGTCGATTGTTGAGGAAATACAATACTCTCAATCTAGTATTACTGTTGAAATTCAAACGTGCTTTCGAAAAATATAATTAAAAATATTTTATAAATGCCTAATAACGATCTTGGTGATTTGATAAAAAAAATATTTTTCTCAATCTATTTTTATTAAAAATATTTATTTAATATTATCTTTATGTTAAAAAATACTTTAAAGCTTTCCAATTAACGATAAACACTTCTTTAGTCATAGAATATATTGTGGTGATATTATAGTGTTAGTGTGTTTTGATATATTATTTTAGTCATAGAATATATGTTGATTTTATATCATATTTTTTCACCTCTGTTTTTCTTTAATTTCTGTCCAACTTATTTTATCATTGTTTTTAACCTTCTTTTACACATACTCTCTCCCCATACTTATATAGCAGCAAAGATTTCTTCCCTTACTCTCTATAATTTTTGCGCAGAGAACTCTCTCTCTATCTCTAGCCAACAACTAAAATCTCTTATAATAAACAATCACTTTTTTTCTATCTTCTCGACCTCCAGTTAAAGGGTGTGTTTTGGTTTGTGTTTGGGAGGTGAGAAGTATCAAAGGAAGAGCGTCGGGAGAGACTAGAGGAAAGGTTGTTTCTTTCTACTTTGCTTGCGCGGTTTAAAGGGACAGAAAGGAATAAGATTAAAAAGACAGGGAAGTAGATAATATATATACATATATATTACGTAAAAGCAATAGACAATGTCGGCTTACAGAGACAAAGATCCCCGTATTCATGGCATCCAATCCAGGATTCGTGTTGTCCCCAATTTCCCCAAATCAGGTTCCTCTGTTTCTTCTTCCCTTTTGTTCCCTTGAAAAAAATGGTTTTTTCGTCTCTTTGTTCCGTCATGTTATCTGTTTTCGTTCTTGTTTATTATCCATGATTGTCACGAAACTGTTAAACAATGGATAATGATATAAAAACCAGTTTTTTGGGCCCTAGGAATCAACATACAAACTACCATCAAGACTGAAGCTATATAGATAATTGATACGGCTTTTCTATCCAATTCAAGTTAGGAACTTGTCATTTTGAAAGAAAATTGGGCGGTTTACGAAATTAGTTCCAGGTTTTTGCTTGTTAATGTAAGATTGTGAATTTGGTATTTTTTATGGTGGAAATGGCAGGCATTATGTTTCAAGATATAACTACTCTTTTACTGGATCCTAAAGCATTTAAAGATACTGTTGATTTGTTCGTTGAAAGATACAGAGGGAAGAACATTTCGGTCGTTGCAGGTAAAACGAAAGTGAAGATAAGGGAGAAAAAGAAATGCCTTTTATATTTGGGTTGTTATTATACTACTTTTTTTATCTGTGAAAGGTCCATATATTTTTAAGAACTTTTTATGGCTCTTTGATCAGCATCAGTGTGGGTAGGGTCCGTGCTTATATGAAAAAGTATGCTCTTGTTGAAACAGGGGTGAAAAAAAGAATGCCCTTTCAAGTTGCTTAAATTTCTGGTTGTCTTTTTGAATACTCTTTAACTGATTTTGGAATGGAAGTGACTGTTTTTTCTTTAACTGATTTTAAGTAGAATTTTACTCGAGATGAATTTATAAAATTTTGAGGTCAAAAACATATTTTTAATAGAAAATGCAAATATTTTTTTTAAAATACATGACAATTTAACACCCTTTGCTAGTGGGGGTGAGCCACTGATTGCTCCCTCCATCTATTTCTTCCCACACACATTCTTGTCATGGCCATGTGCTTGGATCCTACTTGGCTTTGATGGTGGTTGTTGATGGATGCCCCCACCTTGCATGAGGTGGACCGGATGATGTAAATACCGGCCCCCACCCCATTATTTTGAAGCTTAATTATAGAACCCTGATGTGGTTACCTTCTTTGCTAATGCTGAATGATTGATGCCATTTTTATATGATGCATTTGTTGTTTTCTAGACCACTTGAATTTAATATGAAGTTACTCAAAAACTACTTTTTTTTTCTTCTGTTTCTCTTTCATTAACCATTTAGCTGATGAATCTTTTGGAACTACTGAATGAGATGCGGGGGAGATTGATGGATGTTCAAACCATTAGCAGTTGTAGCTCAACTTTTGTTGATTGATTAGTATCTACATTTCTGAATGAAATGATTATTTTCTCTGTGTTTTTAGTATTCATTGTCGCTTTGACAAACTAATAGGAAGTTAAGAAGGTTTAATGATCTTATCATTGATAGGGGTGCCTTGTTATTTTTTATTTTTAAGTGAAAAAAAATTAAGAATTTATTATTTATGTGCTTTATCTTATTTCATATGCATTAGAGTTTGTCTCCTTGTGTGCTAATGTGGACTTAGTTTGTCTTGATGTGTTTATGAACTTTTATGCTGCCTTCTATGGAAAGTTGCAGTGTCTCACTCATGAGATATGGACATGTTATCATCATTCTGGTTAACATTATCCAGTTGGTTAGGTTAAACTCCTAGGGCTTTGATTTTCATCAACGAACAGTTGAGTTTGTCGTACTTGATTGCCATGGGAATAGAATCTGTTTTTCATTTAACTCAAATCTGATTTAATTCTGCAATAAACTGTTAATCGACTTACAATTCTTGTGTCCATGACAAAATATTGGTTCTGCATGTGCTAGATTCTGTTAGAGCGGCTTTCTTTACCGATCCCATTTAGGATTTTCATGGTTGTACATTAATTGAAACTCAACAACAAAGTCTGTCATGTGGCAGTTTTGACCGTATTTTTGCATCTTTTAGTTAGAAGTTTGTTCCAGATCACATCTACCTGGGTTGTAAAGCCATGTGGAAGTAAATTCATGGTAGCCTTCGACTAAAATGACACAAATACCTTTTATCAGTTTTAGTTTAGTTGATGACAAGCATCAAGTAGTGTGCTGGATGGCTTGTCATTGGGATGGTTAATGTTTTAGATTTGTCAGAGGTTGAGGAGAAGCTAGTTTTTACTGAAGCAGAGAGGGAATGGTGGATGAATTTGGAGCAATGCTTGTGTTTCAATTTGTCTTGTGTCATTTGGAAATTTTCTCCATTCACTTATCTTTTTCCCATTTGTGTATCTTTGATTTATAGATGATATAAAAAAGCTTGAATCACAGGTATAGAAGCTCGGGGTTTTATCTTTGGTCCAGCCATTGCACTGGAAATCGGAGCAAAGTTTGTCCCCTTAAGAAAACCGAAGAAGTTGCCTGGTAATACTTGTAGTTCTGCAACATGGTCCTAGCGCTCAGCTATGCACAATATGGCAAAAAATCTTTTATAATTTCCTTGTAAAATATATGGCAGGCTTGTGTTATTAGAATTTATCTGGCTATCTGCGATATAGCAGAGAATCCTGTTAATACAGCAGCTCAATCCGCTTTGTATATATAATCATTGTCATAGAGAATTAATGGTCGAAATTGCTGAATATCCAGGGTGATTACTTGTCATGTTTGTTACCTTTGGATTTATTCAATTCTTGAGGCTAACTTGTATGTTTGCTTTTCTTCTTTTAAATGTGCAATGGTGTTAGGTAAAGTTATATCGGAAGAGTATGAACTGGAATACGGAAGGGATTGTCTTGAGATGCATCTTGGAGCTGTTGAACCTGGTGACCGGGCCCTGGTTGTTGATGACTTGATTGCAACTGGAGGCACTCTTTGTGCTGCTATGAAATTACTCGGTAAGTTTTGAACTCTTCAGACAAACAAGAAGTTGTTATCAATCTAAAACCTGTACCTTGTCCAAATGAAACTGGCAGATTAGTTGACATTTAGTTCGAGTCATGTTGCACTTATATTTTGTTAGGAAATAAAACTATCATCTATGATATCTTTGCCATTGGTTATTATCCTGTCAAAGATGTCTTTTCTTGGTTATTCAAATCTTACTATGAATGTGTATCTTCAGAACGAGTCGGGGCCGATGTAGTTGAATGCGCATGTGTTATCGAATTACCCGATCTAAAGGTGTGTATTCTATTTCCGAATGCACTCGACAATTGATGGAAGATGAGAAGTGTCGCCTTTCCTATAAATTCTTCTGTAATAACACATAAATTTGGTGTATTTTGTAGGGTCGAGAACAGTTGAATGGGAAGCCACTATATGTACTTGTGGAGTCCCATTGATCCTGGCTGATGATACAGTTTGTACATTAGAGCTCCACCTCCATGGATAATAGCTCTGGACTCTATTTTAGAAAAACAGATCTGAACTTTGATTAGTGAAGTTTGACGGAGAAAGGTAAGACCGTATATTTCTGCGGTTTAAAGATTGTAGATTTGTTGTCACTGTCGAGAAAGAGTTGAACATCGCACTCATTGATTGCATTATTCCTCAACAAAGTTGAAGGCAAATGAATTAAGGCTTCGAGATGACTTGAGCAGCAAATAATAATATGCAAAGTTGGTTGCTGCACTCCTTAATCTAAGGGGCAGATACAGCCCAAAAGCCCATCAGTTGGTATGATTGGTGCCCTTGCATTTTCGCATTCCATTAGGCGATTGAAGACAACATTATAGTGTTTGGTCGGATGCATTCAAATACATAAATAAAGTAATCAAATAAGCTCAAATCATGAACATAATATTTTACTTAATCTTATGATAATGGCAACGCCGTGACGATTTAACATTGTAAAATAACTGCAACGTGACTTACGCCACAAGGTAGGAGGTTATAGTTTCATTGATGACATTGGGGGCTGAACGGTTCCAATTTTGATTCAGGGGGGGTTTGCTTTTTTAATAGCAGGTGCCTGCCAAACAGGGATCATAATTCCACACTAGATTTCACCTCTTTCTCCATTCACTTGTTCATAATCATAGATAGGTGGGTAAAATATGTAAGCAGTTTCTATATTATAGTTTCTTTTTAAACTATATCTTCTAATCATGAAAAAGTATAAAATAATCCTTTAATTTGTAAAAAAAGAAATCATTTTTGTTATAATTTAACATAATGTAACAGTTAATATAATAATAAATTGGATCCTCGATTTTGTACTATTTTAATCTACTCGTAATTCTAAAACACTAACAAATAATATTCAAATATTTTATCAACTTAATTCATGTGTTAACCCATTATTATATTCTTAAAATAATTAAAACAAAAGATATTTTCCTGTAATTTGCAATAAAATTCACAAAACAGCCTCAATTTGCAAATTCCTGACCTGATTATTTGGGCTGTTAGATTGTCTTGCAACTGGAATCAGGGACTGTATACACTATGATCCTCAATTTCACGAATCTTTACGTGTATCATGTCATTCTTACTTGGCTCAATGGAGAAATAGAAACAAAATTAGAAGAGAAGCTAAAGGGGAGTAGGTGAATCAAAGTCTTAACTTCCACAAACAACACCTAATTGACATCATATTCAATCCTTTAGGGCTGTAATCAACTAAACTAATGACAAAATTACTTTTAATTCAAAGTCCGTTTAAACACAACAAACGCCAAGCGTTTAATTAATGAGTCGACAACAATTTAAGTAGAAAAAGTAAAATGCAAAGGGTAGGCAAGTGGATTAATTAGCATTTATCAACCCAATTTTCTCCCCTTTTTTCTAATAATATTTTATTTATAGATAATAAGAAAGCAAGGCAACACTGCACGCGGATCAAACACGAGCATCTCGCCGTTGTCTCCACTCACTGAGTCATACCCGACTCGCCCTTCCACCAACCGCTCGTACCCGAACCCCACCCGCTTCGAGACCCGACCAGCGATGACCCGACAAACCAACATCGCCTTCCTCCCCCTCCCACCTCCCGCGCTATCGTGGGCGCCGCCGCTACCGGAGTAAGTGCAAATGGCGGCACCTTTCCCGCCGGGAAATAGCCACTTGTCGTTCATTCCACAGTTCCCCGAAGTGGTACCCAAGCAATGGAACCGCATTACCTCGTTACCGTCCGCGACGCACCTCGCATTTTCCTCGTCAGCAAAAGTCGGACCACCCGAGCGCGAGTCCGAGCCGGACCGAGTTTTGACATTCTCTCGATACTCCTCGAACCTGCTCACCGTCCTCGGTCCATTTTGAACTTTAAAAACCATCTCGATCCGACCCGTGAAAGCCTTGGGGCTCCAACTCGTATGAAAAATAATTTCCACCACATTCCTCGAAGGGTGACCCTCGGCCAGTTCTGTGAGTGCCGGCAGGACAGGGTCAGGGTTCCTAAGGGGACGTGCAGGGAGAGAAGTACTCCGGCATGGTCGAGGAGGAGGAATATTCAACTCGAATTCGGACTTACTGCTGGACCTCGAATGCGGTTTAGGGTTGGGCTTGGGATCCGATTTCTTGGGTTTCTTCTTGGCCGTTTCGATGACGTCCTTGATACTCTGAGAACTCCGTGCACAACTGGTACTGGGAATCAAATGCTTGGGGCTGGGGCGATAAACATCTTCATAAGCTCTCGACTTGCATTGCAAAGATTTGACCCACCCGCTCGCCATTCTCGGATCCCTTTTATAGCTAAAGAATCTGAAAAGTTTCGCTCTTTTTTTTTTTTGACGAACACTTTGTTTTCAGTTTGATTTGGAGCTGTTGTTGTTGGGAGCTTTCATTTTTTGTTGTTTTGTAGCATTGGAGGTTGTGGGAGTGAGAGGAAAAGAGATTAATTGAGCTTGTGTCGTGAAGGGGGGTATGAAAACGGAATGACGATAATTTCCTTGTGAGAACTTCAGAGATAAAGGTATAAACCACGTGGATTCTGTCTTACAATTTGTTTGCTTCGGGTATGTAAACAAATTTCCATTAATGAAGAAAGCTATCTCACATTAGAAACCAACTATTTTTCTTGTTGTTTTTTCTTCTTCTAGGAAAATTTTGTTACCTACTTTACTTTTATGGTACAAATACTTTTGGTAAACTATATCATAGCTCATTTGGTTATCCATAAAATTATAAATGAATCATCATTTTTTAACAATTATAAACGAGTCACTTAATTAATTGATTGTACCAATAAGATGATGTGTCTTCATGTCAATTGTCGTTGTCTACTATATGATCGTTCAACCCAAAATTTTACCATAAGAATTCACATTGGTCTGCTGTTTAATTCATTATATAAGATTATTGAAAATCTCTATCAAGTCATAAAATCACCTCAAAATTTTTAACACTTTTTAACCTGCGAGATGACATATGTCTTGACATATATTATTCCTCTCACTAACGACAGCTTCTCCATTGTTCAAATTATATAGAATGGATCATTGATCTTCAAAAGCCCAAAACTCGAATATGTTTTTTTTATTTATTTATATTAATTGAGTGACTCGTTTATAATTTTTTGAAATTGAATGGTGTATTTGTATATCGGTAATAATTGAATTGTCATTTTATAATCATACTAATAATTGAATGACTTCTGTTTGTAATTTACCCAATAAGAAAATCATTAAAATGTATTTCCTAACCACACCTTCTAAAGTATGTTTTATTTTTAATGGTCCAATGTCATTTATGATGATCCATTAATTAAGTGATCATATGCTTGTATATTTTTAAAATGAAATGTTCTATTAATAATCTTATTAATAATTGAGTAAAACATTTTATTTGGTATTTTTCCTCCCATGCCATTTTTTGTTTTATAATTTGACATGCTTCCAAAATTAGTAGAAGTTTATTTCTTTCCCCTCTATTATTAATTTAAGCTTTTGTTTTATGGTATAAAAAATAATATTAAAATAATCAAACATATATTCATAAAAGAATCCTTTTACATTTTGAACCTATTGGGTTTATTTTTGGGAGAAGAAGGAATGAAATAATTTTGTGAGATAATTAAAAAGAGTTGATTTTGGGGTTAAAGATATTGAGTGCAGGTAGGTAGCATTAGCAATGGGAAGGCACTGGTACATTTTAAAGCAATCTAACTAACAGTATCTTTATTGTTTAAATCCATCACAAATGAACAATATGCCTAGGGATGGCAAACGGGCGGGTCGGGTGCGGATACCCCCTCCCCCATCCCCATACCCACCTAATATTTTTCAATCCACCACCCGCCCACCACCCATGATGGGTAAAAATTTTCAAATCTACACCCGCCCACGCGGGTACATTCTCAAATCCATCCCCACACCCACTATCCACTGGAGAAGTACCCGGCTAGACCCGCCTGACAACAAACTTAAGTTATACATAAGTAACAAACATAAAACAAACACATCTATTAAGAAACATAATAATAAAATAAACTAATGATTATCTGAGTTAAGTGTTAATATAGATTTTAAAGTACATAAAACATCATAATAAAAGACATAATTAAAGTCTAGAAATATAAATGACAAGCACATAATGTTTTTGTTCTTTGGCACAACATTCTAAAATTTCAAGCAATACTTGTGACATCTGATACTCCAGTATTACAATCATCATTCTCATAAAACACCATAATAAAACACCAGTATTGCAAAATACTCGGTTGAAATTTGAATTTGAAAAAGTCAGTTTCAATGGCGTTAAAAATGGAGGTTTGTGAAGCACATGTGAAACACTTAATTCTATTCAGTGGCGTTAAAAATAGAGATTTGAGAAGCAACGATCTGACTCTGTTAGCCAAAAACGTGGGTGCTCAGTCAGAAGATATTGATTTGTAGAACATTAAGAAATTAAGCTTAAAACAAACATTAAGATAAATCTAAAAAATAATTAAAAATCAGTACGAGCAAATAAAAATTAAACTCTTAAAACTAAATGCAGAGGAGCTTAAAACGAAATGACTACGGAAATGACTCTTACAAAAATTAAATTTCAAGTAAAAAAGGAAGAAACATACATGAATAAGCTGGAGAGTGAAGACAAGAGGTTTAAAAGAAAAAAATTTATGCATAAACTTATCCCTAATACTTGGTTAAATTACAAGTTATATCTTATACAATATTAGGATTTATAAATTAGTCTCTTAAAATTACACCTAAATTCAGAATGGTCTAAAATTTAATGGATATTTAGTTGGGCGGGCGGATGTGGGGAGGGCGGATGCGGGGCGGGTGGATGCGGTGCGGATGCGGGGCGGGTAAGGTCTCAAACCCATTACCCGCCCACTACCCGCGACGGGTACCACTTTCTAAATCCACACCCGCCCACTACCCACTAAAATTATACCCATCCCCGCCCCAATTGGAGCGGATACGGTGCGGAATCCACGAAATTGTACCCGCTTGCCATCCCTAAATATGCCCTGCCAATGAACAATGAACAGAGTGA